CCAATTGAGACAATTCTCCTGGTATATACTTAAAGGTGAACTTTTAGGAGGACCCAATGAACCCATCTAAATGGAAGGAAGAACATGTGAGTTTTATTATAATTTGTCTACGAAGATGTCTTTACAGTGCATTATGGTTTTGTTAGATCACCGTTGACATTAGTTTGATTACCCTTTAACAATGCTTGAGAAATGTCCCTGTTTTTACATGAGGACTTACACAAGTGCCATATTATGTCAGTTTATTGTGTCATTTGATATTTGGAATTCTATTATATTTATTTTCTTATTTTTCAACTTTTGTGTCATGTCTTGAGTTTCTTTCGTTTCTACGTCGCCATTTAACTTGTGCTATGAACAAGTTAATACTACACTGTTTTGTGTCATTGTGAAATTGAGAAGTAAAGTTCATGTTATTATTTTGCAGGAATTCTAAGGGCTATGATATGGCAAAAAAGTGTGTGAGCAAACAAAAGAAACATAGAAAGGGTCTGATGTCACTGCTTTGAAATTTTGTATACCATGTGAGTTAAATTAAGTTGAACCACACACCGACACAAAAAAAAAAAAAAAAAAAAAAATAAGAAACTTAGTCTGCTTTGAGTTTAAGTTTGTCTTTTCTTGATACGTAGGTAGGAGATTTTAAATTGGGCTTGTTTGTGCTTTTGCGCATATGCATATATAGCAATAAAAGGAAAGTGATGGTTCCAATAGGGCAGATCAAAGATGTACCTCATTAATACCAATTTATCTTTTGTATTACTCTGTATATACATATTTATATATGTACATATTGATGTTGCTTTATTTTGTTTCCGTTGTAAATGAAGATGATGGATGAATTTGAGAAGGTAAAGGAACAATTGGTAGAGTACAAGATCATGTCACGGCCCATATCCCACAAGCTTGGTCTCTAGTGATTCGAAACCCTAACTCTTAAGTCTTGAGATAATTGACTTTTTTTTTTTATGACAGTTGGACCTAGATTTTTGGCTTCTAGAATATTGTTGTCATTGAGAACCTTCATCAATTTGGGGTGGGACGACATTTCATTTAGTTGCAAGAAGTGTGTTGTAGTTATAAGGAAAACAAACATGCAATTGAGGGACTATTTGTGTATCAGATAGACCATGTAATTATCTAGTCCTCATGGAATGAAATTGAGTTCAATTTACCTCAGAAATTTCAGTCTTGAATATGTTGTTTTCATTATATATTCGCAAGTGTATGCAATGGAAAAATACTTTTATTTATATTATACATTGAATAGAGCACATTATTATGTGTATATATAGCTCATTCTTCTTGCCTTTTGTATAGGGATGGCTATGGGTCGAATCGGGGGTGAGTATGCCATTCCCACCCCATCCCCGTGAAGTTTTTTGGGAAATGCACGTACATACTCACAAACCAGAAATCTTAATCAAGAATACTCACTTTGCAAATATTAACCACAAATATTCACTTCCTCATGTGAAAGTACTGAACTGCCCTTCATATAAATAGATACTATATTGACCATGTATCCTTCTCTGAAACCCAATTCCTCCCAACTCTTCCTTCCTCTCTCGCAGTCCTCTGTCGTCCCCATCGCACATCTAGAACGGCGAATCAATTCATAGCATTATAGCACATCTGGAAGAAAGGCATAACGCAAGAAGATCGTTTTCAAAATTTCTAGAGAATGGTAATGACAATCTTCTCTCTTCTCAATCCCTAGTTTTCTTGTTTTTCTTTTTATGTACTTTTATGTCATTATTTTGTCAAAATAAGTAATTTAAATTTGCACAATTAAGTCGTTAGGGTTCCTAATATTACAACTCATATTCAACTCAAAACTTTTGCATTTGTTGTCTTTAGATTTGTTCCTAACTCTGTGATAATTTTTATTTTTATTTCCAACGAGTTACATAATTAGTAAGCCACCATATGACCCACCCAACTACAGAGATTGATCACCAATTGCAAGTAATTAATTGGGTTTTAGTTCGTATCATGTGGGTTTCTGTTGAGTATTGATATAGTGATTCTTAATATGCTTCCGGATATGTTTTCTGCTGAAATTCCTTATATGAAGTGTATGAATTTTGAATTAGAAATTGTTGCATTTGCCTTATCAAAACCTGATATGGATGCAAATAGGTCTTGTTGCGATTGATTTTATTATTTATCAGAACATGGGAAAGCTGAAAATAGGTATCTTCATGAGATCCTTGACCAAAATTTGAAGTATTGCAAGAGCATTAAGTAGACCTCCCCTGATATATACTGCTTCAGAAAATTTTGGTTGTTCTGTTCACCATTGCCTTCTTTAGGAAGCTTATAAATTACATGTGGAGCTTCTTGAGTCAAACAATTCCACATTACCCCATTATTGTTCACCCTTTGAGGTGTTCTGATGTCTGGTTCTGTGCCTTTATTTTGTTTGACAATTTCTTTGTGCTTTATGCGTTCCACTTTTTGCGATTTTCTCTTGTTGGTGTTCTAGGTTAGGAAGCTCCTTACTAATTAGTCTAGGAATTTCGTATGTAATAGGGCATGAATGTCTTGTGAGAAGAATTGTAATTTATGTAGGAAGCTTTGGTAATACAATAACAAATGTTAGAAACTAAATGATTCCAATTACAAATGTGAGAGAGTCACATACTTTAACTTAATGTTTACACTCGCACTTTTCTGAATCTTTAGTTTTGTTGTCATACTTTGGTGAATAAAAAGCAATTGGGAATGTTGCAGAAATGGGGAGTGGGGAACTACACATGCGAGAGAATATCACCTTCATAACACAGCTCATCACTTGGAGGTTCGAGATTGGACAAAAGCTACTGGTTTCTTCACGGTTAGAAGATGGCTTGAGAAATGAAGATGCGCCACCAGTTTTGTTTCACCACATAAATATTGTTGTAATAGGAGTGGAATTGGATATTAGTTGTGCTTTGATGTGATCAGCTATTCCTTATTTATTAGTTGTGGTTTCATGAATTAGTAACCCATGAAACTAGAGTGGATAGAGAAACTGCATATGTATATGTTTAGCTAATAAGTAGCCTCGCAATGTAAACTCAAGTTTATGTATTGCGCTTTCTTACTATGCCTCTATTGTTGTCTTAACTATTTTTTCACCTCTGTCTTGACAATTACAAAGCTAAAGTTGGACTAAGAGGTTTACGTATTGCCTTCTTAGCACTTTGTTTTTCACATCTCTTTGCAATTATAGAGTTAAAATTGGACTTAGGTTTACGTATTGCCTTCTTATTGCCCTTTTATTGTGTTCATATTGCTCCTCTATTGTTGTCTTTGCAATTATAGAGTTGAAAGACAATCAAGTTTAAGTATTGCCTTCTTATTGCCCTTATATTGCTTTCCTATCGTACATCTATTGTTGTCTGAACTCTTTTTTCACCTCTGTCTTGACAATTATAGAGCTGAAGTTGGACTTCCAGGTTTACGTATTGCCTTCTTATTGCCCTTTTATTGTGTTCCTATTGCTCCTCTATTGTTGTTTTAGCACATTGTTTTTCACCTTTGTCTTTGCAATTACAAAGTTGAAAGACTATTAAGTTTAAGTATTGCCTTCTTATTGCCCTTATGTTGCTTTCCTATTGTACCTCTATTGCTGTTTTAACTCTTTTTTCACCTCTGTCTTGACAATTATAGAGCTAAAGTTGGACTTCCAGGTTTACGTATTGCCTTCTTATTGCCCTTTTATTGTGTTCCTATTGCTCCTCTATTGTTGTTTTAGCACATTGTTTTTCACCTTTGTCTTTGCAATTACAAAGTTGAAAGACTATTAAGTTTAAGTATTGCCTTCTTATTGCCCTTATGTTGCTTTCCTATTGTACCTCTATTGCTGTTTTAACTCTTTTTTCACCTCTGTCTTGACAATTAGAGCTAAAGTTGGACTTCCAGGTTTACGTATTGCCTTCTTATTGCCCTTTTATTGTGTTCCTATCGGCTCTATTGCAGTCTTAGCACTTTTTTTTTCTTAATGTATGTCTTGGCAAACAAATTGTAGTTAGACTATGAATTCTTTGTATTGCCCCTTTATTCCACTACCCTTGTATTGCAACTTTCTTATGTATATCTTAAGATGTAAATTTAAATTTTTTTTTTTTTGCAACTTTCTTATGTATATCTTAAGATGTAATGAGATAACATTGTTAGTTCATCAATTTATGAAGGTCAAGTGAGAAGGAAATTTGTCAATCTCTAGTTTCCATGGTTTTATTGTTCCCTTTGCAAAGAAGGAAAAAAAATACAAATGTAACCAAATCAGTGATTTAATTTGGCAAATGACATGACAGATATGTATTGCATATGTATTGCACATGTGTAGCCCTTTATTGCTTGTGTATTGCCCTCGTATTTTTCTTTTTTTTTTAAGTCTGTAGGAATAAATTTATAACGGGATTATGAAGTTTTTGTATTGCCATTGTATAGCCTTTTATTGCTTGTGTATTTCTACTGTATTGCCCCTGTACATCTTTTTTTTTCAAGTCTGTGTGGGAATAAATTTATAGGGGGGTATGGAGTTTGTGGATTTCCATTGTATAGCCTTTTATTGCTATGTATTGCCATTGTATAGCATTTTATTGCTTGTGTATGCTATTGTATTGCCCCCGTATATCTTTTTTTTTTTTTAAGTCTGTGTTGGGATAAATTTATAGGGGAGTATGTGTATTGCCATTGTATAGCCCTTATTGCTTGTATATTGCTAATGTATTGCCCGTGTATATCTTTTTTTTTCAAGTTTGTATTGCAGGTATGAAGGTGGGGATGGGGATGAGAATGGCATACCCACCCCCAATTTGACCAACTGAATCAGAAAATTTGAATACACAATATAGGCCCAAAAATGACAGATGTTAACAACAATGTAGCACATAGAATACACAAATACATACAAAATTATGAAAATTTAACATAATTCACAATCCACAGAACACCAAACCTAATACAAATATAATTCAAATTCACACTCCATAACAAACCAACACAATTCATAATATATGTCCAACATTAGGTAGTGGAACATTGTTTTTACAGGTGCTTTTATTGTGGCCTGTGCCACTGCACCTTGAGCATTTTCTCCTTATGATATCCTCTCCTTGCGAGGGAATCCTTAACTTTTTTCGTCGACCCGGCATGACCTTTGCATTTGGAGGACGCACAACTCTACTTTGGACATCTTCAGGAATAACCCACAACTCTTGAGGCTGTACCGGGTAGATGGTATCTGAATAAGCATCCAACCATGTATTTCGAGTGTAATAACGAGAAGCCATGGAGTATACATTTAGTTTTAAGAAACGGCAAACTGCAACTACATGCTTGCAAGGTAGTTGCTCAAGCTGAAACTTCCTACAACTGCAAGTGTTATTCGTCAAATGTACGTGGCCGTCCATATCACCGTCCACGACATTATACTCTACGTGATTCAGTTTCACAACATTCATCCTTGAAGCACATTCCAACCTGCGTCTCAACTTTTTCTCTCCAAAGTCAGGGCACAATGTTGATGTACATTTCAAAGCAAAATCACGACGTTTACTAAACCATTTCACAAGCAGATTGATGATTTCATCAATCAAATGCACCACAGGTAGCATCCTTGCGAACCGAAGGGACTGAGTTGATTGACTCCGCAATATTTGTTGTCATTACATTGTATCGACGTCCATCCATATGAGCTCTAGACCACTTGTGTAATCCTGCACTTTCAAGATATTGAGCAACCTCATCATTGCCCTTGATCTTGTGAAAATGACGATCAAATTCAGCGATACCCATAAGATTTCGCAGCTTGTTCAAAGTATAGCAATAATTTATCACGTTTTTTCAATTTGAAAGTGCGTTTCATGTTCCCCTTCATATGGTAAAAGCATATGCCATGTTGCGCCGTTGGAAAAATGTTGTGCCACACATTTCTATGCTAATATTCCGATCAGAAATAATCACAAGATTTGGACACTCACCAATAGCTTCATGAAGCTTGCTGAAAAACCAATGCCATGATGCATCCGTCTCTAAATCCCCAATTCCAAAAGCAAGAGGATATATATTTCGATTTCCGTCAAATGCATTGGCAACAAAGAGGACACCTTTATACTTACATTTTAAATGCGTGGCATCCACAGCAATGACTGGCCGCATTGAAGATTGAAACCCTCTAATACATGCCCCACAGCCATAAAAAAATACAAAAGTGATTGTTCTCATCGGTGTGAGGTATGTCCTTGTGCCAGAATTCACACGTTCTAATCATGACAATAAGCTGGAAGGAGAGAATATGCCTCCTCTACTGAACCTCTAGTGGACATTAGAGCTAACTCCTTCGATCTCCAAGCTTTGCAATAATTAAGGTGACACCAAAGTTTTGTTTCACATCCTGATTTAATCACTTGGTGTGTATATTGTGCGAGAATCTTTCAATTTCCGCTTCACTGCATTACCAACGAGTTTTAGCACTTGTGTGACGATGCTTGTCATGTATAAACCTCACATCACATTCATGGACACCGGATTATATTTCGCAATCCATGAAGTTCTTTTTCTCCATAACTAGAGATGCACGAAGCCGCCATGGGCATGAACTTGAGAACAAACCACAACCACTCGACTCTTACAAGACTGCTTCCCTTAAATTCAAATGACCTCTTACTGCCGCCACGTAACTTGTTGGATAGGCTTCCTTACTGAGAAAATTTTCCCCAATTCCCAATTTGGATCCCCAATTATTCCGTGAATACCGCCTTTCAAATCTTCTTCCTCTTAAAAAAAAAAAAAAAAAAAAAAAAAAAAAAAAAAAAAAAAAAAAAAAAAAAAAAAAAAAAAAAAAAAAAAAAAAAAAAAAAAAAAAAAAAAAAAAAAAAAAAAAAAAAAAAAAAAAAAAAAAAAAAAAAAAAAAAAAAAAAAAAAAAAAAAAAAAAAAAAAAAAAAAAAAAAAAAAAAAAAAAAAAAAAAAAAAAAAAAAAAAAAAAAAAAAAAAAAAAAAAAAAAAAAAAAAAAAAAAAAAAAAAAAAAAAAAAAAAAAAAAAAAAAAAAAAAAAAAAAAAAAAAAAAAAAAAAAAAAAAAAAAAAAAAAAAAAAAAAAAAAAAAAAAAAAAAAAAAAAAAAAAAAAAAAAAAAAAAAAAAAAAAAAAAAAAAAAAAAAAAAAAAAAGTGATTCTTCAGTCGGAACTGGGGTGTTGGAGACATAGGACTATGGGATGTTAGTTAGGGAAAAAGTTGCTTTCAAGAAATTTTAGAGTCTGGAATCTGATGCAGGCCCAATGGCCTTAAAGGTGCATCTGCTTCTGGATTACGTACTACTTTCTCAACCTTACTGATATGATCCGAAATTTGAACCAATGTCAATTATTTCAGGAAGCTCTGGTCAAAGATTCATATCTGTTAATAGTATCCGACAGAGTCCTGATGGTTCTATATTTGGTGAGAATGTTCTCATACTTAAAATGGTATGGAGTTTGCTGATTTTCAGTTCTTGTAGTTCATATCACTGCCGTTGTGTTCTTCAATGAACTGGGGTCCATATGCAAAGCGCATTGTGCAATTATATTCTTATAATGGAGGCAACAACAATTAGAAGTAAGTTATGAAAAAGAACACAAATTCTCAAGGAAACTGCAACTTTTGAGTATGTGACCCATCATTTTTCTTACGTAGATTGATGCTCACTTAGGAAGTGTAAATGATTTTGGCATTCTTTTCCCCTCACGACCAACTTTTGGTCATAACATAGTAACCAGTACTGTGTTGTCTACTGGACTGCTGATCCTGGGCCTAACCCTGCTATTATATGTGAGGAAGAAACCAGCAACAAATATATGGTAAGCTATTTGATTTTCTACTCTTCTGCCCCTCCATCTTCTAAGATAGGTGGGTTCAGTTCTATAGAAAATGTTTGCTGTTGCCTCTCGGGTTTCCCTACAGTTAGCTTGACAGTTTCCACATGTCATTTGTGTCAGGGACTAAGGTGGTGTAATTTTATTTATTTATTTATTTATTTTTTCTGTTGTTTCGTGGGTTGGTTTTGTGTTCCTATGCAAGAGGAGGAGGAGGAGACAAATCTTTCTTTTTTTTTCTTTTTTTTCTATCAGCAAACAAGAGGGCATGATCAAATGTCAAAATCTATAACAGAAATGCAATATCCAAAGAATGAAAAGCAGTCCAACCAAGAAGAACCATCAATGGATGAATATTGAATGCATAAAGATTTATCAAGTTTCAAGCAAGAAGAACCAAACCAGAAATAAATAGTCAGAATTTGAGATTGGGGCCTAAAAAACCGAACCTTGTTATTGGCAAGACCATAGAAACTCCATGTTAGGATAGCTTCATCATTTCCTTCCACCGAAGACAGACACCAAGTCAGCAAATTTTGTATTTAGGGTTCCCATGACTTGTGCTTGCTTCGGCTTCCAAATCTCAATCTCAAGCTCAAATTTGCAGGTAAACTTTTTCAATTTCGGGTTGCAGACTTTCAGTCAATCGCAGTGTTCAAAAAATGGGGCTAGGCGGACGGCTAGGCGGCTAGGCGGGCGCTAGGCGGCTAGGCGGGGGCTAGGCGGCTAGGCGGGCGCTAGGCGGCTAGGCAGGCGCTAGGTGGCTGGGCGGGCCTCCTAGGGGGTTGGGTCATTTTCCGGTGCCGAACAAGGAGGACGAAGCAGCCGAAACTTGACTGCGTCTGCAAGCTCCGTCCTATGCCAGTGCAAGCTTTCGTGTTTGTTTCAAATGTATTCAAAGAGTATAGCCGGTCGGCCATACCCTTAAAATATTCAAATATATTAATATTTAAAGAGTCTAGCCGCCGGCTATACTTTTAAAATATCCAGATGTGTTTAGAAAGTAAAGCTGCGCGGGGCTAGAGTTATTACTTCAATTATTTATTTATACATGCGATATATTTAAATTCTTTCTAATACCTCCCATTCTAATGATTTCCAGCTATTAGCCCATCGGGCAAGAATAAAAATGAATTTTATTTATAACAAATAATATAGGTTAAACCCACAAATACAACGACAACAACAAAATCCCTCAACATTTTGTGGATCAAAGGATGTTGAATTTCATAGTATAAAATTGCTTGTATAGCAATTTACTTTCTTGAAGAAAAATTGGATACAAAACAGTCTAACGAGACAACGAAGAGAAGTTTGCAGCTCTGTTTTGAAATTTATTGAAGGTATCAGAGGGTCATATGACATTGATATATGAACCATTCAAAATGAGAATTCAAACAACATGTGTTACATGAGAAGTAGCATGTCATTCTTAAATATAACATATTACTTCATTTGTCTACTGGTTGTGCCTGTTGTTAAGCTGGTGCAACCAACATTTTTTCACCAAGAAACTTTTCTTGAACCATAAAGAAATTTAGCTAGGACAACCTTTGGTGGTTAGGGAAAGTTAAGATAGAAACAGAGGCAGAGGCAAGGTTGAAGAACAATCGCGAGCACATGTGATATTACAAAAAATGTAGCGAAGGAATTTAGAATGGCCATTTTCCAAATTAAGCACATATCTTATAATGAAATCAAGATAGGAACTTATAACAAGCCCTCATTAGAGTACAGTGTCCAAAAACACAAGATGAACACCACACCACTCCACACTCAACACACATAATTGCTCTTCAATTTTGTAAATATAAAAAAAGATGAGATATCGCTTAGTACAATCAAATAGTTCTTCATTCCTCGTCGCCCAAATCATTGAACGCATCAAAAAATCATTGAGCATTTCATCCCACGTTCCTACACATGCACATGAAATGAGTATCCATCAACAAGAAGAACAAAATTGTCCATACCAAGAAGAAATTAAAGAAATTTAGAATCCTTTCGCACATAAATTTACTAATATGAGACGCAAGCTTTGATATTTCATCGTTGTTCTCATCGAAACCAGAAACAATCTCTAACGTCCAACATCACCAAACCTTTGCATTCGCGTAGCAAACGTGACAAGACCATCCCGATTAACTTTTGCACCCTTCAAATTTAAGTACTTGATATTAGGCACCAACTTCACAATTGACAATATGCCTCACGCCCATGAACAGAGACTTTGGACAAATCTAAACCATAAAAATTCTTGCAATGTTTTTGTATAATTTCAAGTATTGTGGCCAAATTTAAGTATGAACCCAATGATAACACCTCCAAATTTTCCACTTGCCAATCAGCTCTATGTGTTTGCTGTCCAATAAATTTACTGGTAAACTCGAAGCCACAAGGCCAGGACACCTGCACACGTTCCACAACAACAAAAATGCTACATTTACATTTACAAGGAAAATTAAACTGGGTATACTTGAGGGTATGATCAAATGTCAAAATCTATAACAGAAATGCAATATCCAAAGAATGAAAAGCAGCCCAACCAAGAAGAACCATCAATGGATGAATATTGAACGCATCAAGATTTATCAAGTTTCAAGCAAGAAGAACCAAACCAATCAATCTATTGCTTAACAAACCATAAACAAATAGTCAGAGACCGAACCTTGTTATTAGCAAGACCATAGAAACTCCATGATAGGATAGCTGAAGCGCTCAGGATCTTGTGGGGAAGGCATCATCGCTTCCCCGCCGAGAAGTCT